GGAAGAATTAGCAAGCGATAGGCGACCCGTTTCATGAAAATGTATCTTGAATAGCGGATCTGTTTTCCATGCATGCATTGCTATTTGTGATAATTGCTGCATGACTGGATCGTCGACGAATTCTGATCGAACCATTTTATTGAGATCGTTACCGGCTGAATCAAGGGAAGGATAAGACCATTTGTCTAGGCAGGTAATGTCTTTATAACCACGTAGGGCTAAATGGTAGCAAGTGGAAAGACCCCAAGTTCCACCACCGACTACGAGTATTTTTAATGAATCAAATTGCATTATAACAGTAACAACGTAGAAATGAAAAGATAAAGCGTAAGAAAGAAAGAAGAGGAGTAATAAGTAATAGCTTGTCACAATGATTGTTATCTTTTTCTCTTTCTTCCACATTGACCTATTGCGTTTAACGGGAGAAAAAAAGAAAACAAATTATTCTTCTTATCGAACTGTGGTAATATATATTATATAACATAAAGGTTCAGTAAGAAAAGAGTACTATCTTTGTATAAAAGTATCATTTTCATTTGATTATTGAGGATATCTCTGAGCTGGAATTCTAAAGAGTGTTTAAAAATTTTCTCAATAAATAAAACGAAATGCATCGGCAAAATTAAGACTCTACATTTATCTTAATTTTATAATTAGATTGAACTTGTCTATTAATTGTGAGAGTTATCGCGATAAAATAGACCAGTTTGGCGATTGTTCACGTTGGGTGTGGGTTTGGATGTGAACGACTGAAAACAATTGGAAACGGCACGCACCCCTCAGTAAAGATATTAACATATCTATCCTATAGCACGTGGCATCTATTATTAAATCAGCTGCAGCTTAGAAATGTTCAGAATTTCTATTTTCCCTTGTCTTGGTCAAAACCGCGATTCGTTGCCCAAACCTTGGCGATTTTGAAGACATGGGGACTCTACAGTGAAATAGCGTCGAATAAATTACACGCAAATATTGGAATAGTTTATAGTTAAATAGAAGACAAAGATTTCAATTGTATTGATTAATACTTCTCTAGAATGCTAATAGTCCTTATGTTGTTTTCTCTTTAGAATCAAATCTTATTCAAATATTACTTTAGAAGATTTAAAGTATTAAAAGAAAAGAAGAATTGAGATTTGATATCTCTGTCATTAACATGAATTACTTCATACAGTACTCTAAATATGTCTGATGTTTTTACTCGAATATATTTTTTATATCTTCAACAAAGTTCAAAAAATGTTTTTATTCATCGGTATCATTGTTTGTATCATGTTTGCACAGACAAATGCTGGTAAGTATGACAAGCAATCAATGTCGTTTTAATTTTCATCCTTTTATAGGTATTACTGCCGATCAACTTGAAGAGATTTTGCCTCTTTCTGAACATTCGGAATATTTAGAACATCTCAATTCAGCTATGGAAGAAGGTGATATTACTACTTGTACACGACAAGCAGCATTCACTGCACAAACAGCGCATGAATCAGCTGGGTAATAACTGTGAAAATTATCCAGTAAGTATTGCTATCAATGTTGATCGATTCTTTATAATTATCTTTAGGATGGATGTTTATATAAAGGTCGCGGTCCACTACAACTAACACACAAAAGTAATTATGAAAAAGCAGGAGAAGCATTGGGTTTAGATTTGGTTGGTGATCCTGATCAAGTTGCTGAACCAGAAGTAGGTTTCAAAGTTGCAGTTTGGTTTTGGAATGATCATAATCTAAACTCGTTGGCTGATGAAAATACGTTAGATGCCTTCAAGAAAATTACTAAAAAAATCAATGGTGGACAAAATGGTGCACAAGAACGAGAACGATATTGGCAAAAAACAGGAGAAGTATTGGGATGTGCTGAACGAAAGAAAAGTAAACCTTTACCATTCCATATAGTGTAGATATTCAAACAGTTCAAATTTTATTTTGGGTCGCTTTTCTCGTCGACGAGTACACAGATGGTAAATGGAAAGAAAGAATTAGATCCAAAAAAGATTTATTTGCTTTTGTTGGAATGCTTTTTCAAAAGTCCATCAAAATAAATCTTATTTGAAAAATATCATGAGAAAACATAAAGGTTAAATATTTGTTTTTTAAGGGGGTGGGTGTCGGTAAACAAATGATATCCACATACACACTCTCTAATCAAACAAGGCTTATCGACAGCTCATAACAAGAAACGAAATGATTACAGATAAGAAAAAATTTTTATTGACAATTGATTTATTTAGTGTTCATTGATATAAAATGACAGCAATGTCATCCACGCTGCCCTGATTCCCCGCACCCTGCGAACGAGTTAGTGTAACAAATACTGTCATCGCACGAGCGCCGATAGGCACGAAATCGTTAGCCTGCTGAAAGATGAATGATGTTATACTTGATCGATCCACTGCGTACACCGGTCCGATGCTAGTAATATTACCTGTCATCGTGTTGTTTGCATCATTAAAAGTTACAGAAACTACAGCAGTATCATCTTGATTAATATAGCCACCAATCCATGCCGAAAGATTGAATTTCACACTTTGATTATCAATGAGAAGGGGGCTGACTTCATTAATCAGATTGATTGTTTGCCACATTGATGTGGACGTTGATTGCTGACCATAGAAGTAGCATTGACCACGATCACTAAATTAATAGAAAAAAAACTTGACATAAAAGACAAGCTGATATTCGTCTTACCTAGGTCCCGGATCTGAAGAAGCCATACAGCCGGAAGTTGGATTGTTATAGATCACTTGAGTAATTGGTCCGTTATAGTTCCATCCAACCGGACTAGTAACACCACCACTTACTTGACAAGATCCAGTTTCGGCATCACCATTAGTTACCAAATTAATATTGAATGCTAAAGAAAAGTATCTTTATTAATCAGCAAGAAAATATCATGTGATGGATGAAACATTTGTGCAACGTTCTCCTCGAGATAGTTGGCTTCATCACATATAGTATAGTGCAGAGAAGAAGATTGTGCAATAGTTCTGTGAAGTATACTACCTGCAGTCGTAGTTACACTTGTTGTAGTTGATGTAGTTGTTGTCGTAGTTGATGTGGTGGTTGTGCTCGTGGTTGATGAGGTTGTAGTTGATGAACTCGTAGTCGATGAAGTCATCGTGCTGATTATAGTGGTGGTGGTACAAGAACCTATTATTGTAAAGTTCATGTTTATTAGTATATTATTACTCTAACTTTCAATAGGATGAAGAATGTTCAACTATGGTAAGATACATAACCATACGCACTTTGAGTTTGCCCTCTAATACAAATGGTAGAGAATTAAAGATGAACGAAAAATTTCTCTCTTTGCACATTTAACGGGAACAAAAAATAGGTGTCGCATATCTTTACGATTAAGATTCACGAAATAAAACGAATTAATTTTACTAAATGTCATTCTATATTTAAGACGACAATAAACTATTTGTATGCGAATTGTGATTTTCATTGAAACAGATAAAACAGATAAAGTGATCGTTGACAGATTTGTATATAAATATAGTTCTTTTGTCTAATATACAAGTAAATTTTACCTGGTTTAACTAAATACAATGCAAGTATTGTTGCAAAAGCCACACCAACTAGCAATGCTGCAGTACTCATTCCGAGTAGAAAAGGTGTGGAGAAATATCTACAGAAGATTTACTGAATTGTTTAGTTAGAGAAACAGACCGTGTTTCTTACGAGCGCCCACTGTTATCCGATGATGTTATCCAGTGATGATGTTTCTGATCATTATTGCTTATTTTCGACTCTGTGTCGATCAATTTTGGTTCCCAGACACTACGTTGATGATGCTTCATTGTGGAATGATGCTGTTGGGCAATAGATCAATAAATGAGAAGAAGCAATTCTGTGCGTCTATTTTTATACAACGAAAAAGAAAGAAATGATGTTGATAATTCATCACATTAGCATTTTAATAAGCTTTACGACTATTTGTGCGAGTTCACATAATCAATTCTGTTCTTTTTTCTTCGTCGTTGGAAAAGTGCATCGACCAATTTAATAATCAGTGATGTTGAAGAATCCTTGTTAATGCTCAGCATATAGCTGCATATCTTATTCTCTACATCGCATTATTAACTAGAAGCGATGAAATATTATAATTCAAAAATGAATATGCATTTTCGTTACTTTTTTCTCGATTGAATACCGAATCAGGCAATAGAAATGATGAAGCGTCATAGATTTTAGGGTGTGGGTATGGATGTGAGTTTAGGTATAAAGACAAAACTCTCTGAGCTCACACCTACATCCTATTATCTATATGACCTATCCCAATGCATTATCACAAAATGTAACTAATATCAATAATCTGATATCTATATAATGAACAATAAACCACGTTCATAATTCGCGTATACATATCATTTGATATTTTTGAGTGAGTAGCTGTCCGTTAGCGAAAAATATTCAGTACTCATCAATAATTAGACTCGAGATATATATTTGTACATTCAAAATTTTCATTGATTAAATGTTATTGGTGTTCGGATTCGTTCATTAAATAGATTCAAAGCATTGTCAACATTTTCAACGTTTTTCACATCAACAATAAATTCTACCCTATATCTTTTGTCAAACATTACATTAAAAAAGATTGTTTTTCTCTATCACAACAATAATAAAACTCAGTATGCAGTTGCATCGAAAGAAAATATAAGCTGCAAAGCGATTATAGTTGTTAAGAGGATTAAAAAATAATCATACCATGCGCACATATACATTCGTTCTTCATCAAATATTTAATATATCACATAAAAAGGTAGATGCTTTATTCATTTATTTCTTCAAAAAATCGACGTATATTCTGATCAAACGATCTTTTTTCGTATTTAAAAAAACATACCATCATGCTTTACTCGCGTTCGGTTATACTTTTGGTGTTTATTATGTTTGTTTCCTATGCGAATATGGTGGCTTGTAGAAACATTATGGTAGATCAAAACATTGAAGGTCTTTGTGTCGGTGGAATAATGGATGTTTGTGGTGGTGCAACACTCCATATCTATAATATAGATGACAGCCGATGCGCAGCAAATGCTTCCTGTTTTTGGGCCGGAGAAGCGAAGGTGAAATTGCTTCTTTCTAATAATGCGGGTTCAAGTGTTGTAGATCTGATCGTCGGTAAAAAGCCTCAAAACAGTGCTCAAGTAACTCTCGGTACTACTGTATACACTATTACCCTTGATGATGTTGTTCCATATCCTACAATACCAATGAATAGTAATGCATCTGAAGCTCTCGTTCAAGTCACATGCACATGAACGTTTGAATGAAAGTTCATATGGATGCTATAACATCTACTAATTTTATTTTGAATTCATTAATAAATACATGAAATTTATCCTTAATATTACTATAGAATGATTGAAATATTCTCTTCAATATGCATATATACAGAAGAAAGACACGCAAATCATGATCATTAGCATTTATCATTAATTCAACGACCTTTATCTGTTCAAATTAGTATAAACTCAGGTACATTAATATTTATTATTGGTCTTATTAGTGGAATTCTACCAAATCTAACACTTAAAATAAAATCAACTCAAAAAATAGGTTGTGATGTTTATCTTTTTACTTAATCAACCACATCAATTTTAGTAATCATTTGTTTCTATATGAAATTATGGAGTCTTATTCTTTCTCAATTGAATACTATGACTTCTCGAACTTTTCTTTTATTTAATTGTATTTCAATAGAATTTATTCTTCGATTTCTATTAGCAACGATTAGTTGGTTACATGCCTCTGTGACAATTGAAAGGTTTTTTCTTGTGTTCACTTCGTGTGTTAAGCACAAGAGATTAAATGACAAAACTTTTCAGTAATCAGTATCGTACTTGTAGATGTTTTATTTTCTGTGCTTTTCAAGAACTATAATAAAACGAAACAAAAACAAATTCAGAAATTGATTTCGTTCAGTTGATATAGTTTAAAATGGCGGCTTGCAATTGTAAACGCGTATTTGAAAGACCTATTGTAGGATAGGGTAAACCAGTTAAGTGTCGAAAATACGTTTGGTAGAATCTGTTATTTGCTAATAGGGGTTCATTATAAGCACTGATAGACATTGGAAGAAGGTAGCGAGGAATACTACCAGGACTATCACCACTACCTACTACGGCTGCTTGCATGCGAGGTGTTCCCATGAAATCGGCAAAAGAACGAGCAGCTTCCAACACATCTTCGGACATATTTCGTCGAAAGACAAATGCGTCAGAAAAAAAAACAGGCTGGTTTCGAAGTTTCCCTGTTGGCAATGGAATCATTTTTACATTTTGATAATCATCTAAACTTCCATTTTTAAGAATAAAAAAAAGTCGTTCAGAATAGTCAAACATTGCTGCAGTCTGATTGCGTGCAAACAGAAGCGCCGGTATTTCATAGTTCGTACCATTAAATGTTCCATTAAGACAATGATTTATCTCTCCAATGCGATCACAGAGTCGAGCTAACTTGCTCATTGTTTCGAAGGAGTTATTTGAGTAAGAATGAAGAGCAAATGCAACTTCATCATTTCCAGAACTGATACTATTTTGATAGCTGCTTATCCACATCGAAGGCAAGTCCCAACTGGAAGCCAAGTTTCCCACCAGACGATAATTGTTTGTGGATGTATTGCCGAGAGCATCAATGAGCTGATCAATCGTATTCACTGAAGCTACTTTATCATTGCGAGTAAAAAGAAATAATGCACACATATAATGAGGAAAACCGTACACTGCCTGATTGAATTGAACAGCAGTAGCGGCAGCTGAATGCCAATCGGAATGATTATGCGACAGAGAAAATTGGGGTGTGATGAGGCCAGCATTGACAAGATCACCTAGAAGTTCAGTATCGACTTCGACTACATCATATCCACTGCCATCACTCTTCAACCATTTAGTCAGCACAACTAGATTATAGAAATCATCATCAAAACTAATTGGACGTAGCAGAAGCGTAATATTAGGATAGATTTTCTTAAATTCAACTGTAATGAATTGTAGTAGACTTTCATAGTTGTCGCCTGCCGAATCTGGTAGATACGGATACAAGGCAACTTTCAAAACCGTGTTAGTCATATACCCAGAATCGGCATGCTGAACAATAAGTGATATTTTTGAATAGTCTTTTGTGTTTTGTGTGCAGTTTTGAGATACTAGCATAATCAGCACGATTGCAACAAAGTTGTTCGCATGCATTGCTTTTTATTCTGAGCGACAAAAGATATGACCAAAAACAAAACGAAAAAAATACCTTATACGAATGTGTAATCATAAACAAACAGTCATTAAGATTCACCTCAAAAACACCTTTTGGCTACTTATCATCGAAGTCGTTTTATCAACGTTTATATTTCAACTTTTATGTAATGCCTGGTTTACAAAAAAAAATATAAAATCAAAACACGTCGTATGGATGTTTGAATCTTCTTATATGATTATGCTCATCATTTGAATAACTATAGCAAAGTCACAAACTTGATTCCTTCCAAAAGTTCTGCAAAGCCTCATTTATTAGTAAACTGTGGAGAAACACTTACGAACCCATCCACACTCTCAAGAAAATCCAATATTAAATGTATTATTTTATTCAAAAATGATCTTAATTAATTACTCCATGTATGTTGTTTATGAACTGCCAATATACAATGTTCCCGCGTGACATCTATATTTCTTGCATTCTTTTTCTCATGCACAGGTGAGACATTAAACGAATCAATTTTTTTCTATTCTGTACATACGTAAATAGTAACTGTATACCTAAACTACAGTAGTATTTAATATATTTCTTTTACCAATATTACTATGAATACTAAATGGAAACAATCGGGAATAACTATTGCTGGAGGTGATAGACCTGGTAAAGAATTGAACCAATTATTTTGGCCTCAGAATATCTATGTTGATGATGATCAAATGATTTATATTGCTGACTATGGAAATGATCGTATTCTTAAATTAAATTCGAATGAAAACAATAGTCAAGTTGTAGCAAGTAGAAGTGAATATGGAAATAGAATTATTCAATTATTTCAACCAACAGATATAACTGTTGATAAAAAAAATGATTCTTTGATAATTTGCGATTGGGGAAATAGACGAGTTGTACGCTGGTCTAGTCAAAATGATAACAACGTACAAATACTTATTTCTGATGTTGACTGTTACGGTATAACAATGGATAAGAATGGAAATCTTTATGTTTCTGATTATAAAAAGGATGAAGTAAGACAATGGAAAAAAGGAGAAGTAAACGGAACAATAATTGCAGGTGGAAATGGAAAAGGAAATAATCTTAATCAACTCAATTGGCCTACTTTCATTTTTGTTGATCAAGATTGTTCACTCTATGTATCAGATAATAACAATCATCGTGTAATGAAATGGATAAAAGATGCAAAACAAGGTATTATTGTTGCTGGTGGACATGATCAAGGAAATAATTTGACACAATTATCTAATCCTCATGGAATTTTTGTTGATCATTTGAATAATGTTTACGTGGCTGATTTTGGGAATCATCGAATAGTACGTTGGTCGCCGGGATCTAAGGAAGGAAGTATTATTGTTGGTGGGAATGGTGAAGGGAAACAACAAAATCAGTTGAATGGTCCCATAGAATTATCATTGGATTTCGAAGGACATTTTTATGTCGTCGATCATAGAAATAATCGAATACAAAAATTTCTTGTTGATTTAAATTGAAATTTTCTTCATTTTCTGAATATATATAATGGAATAATTATAATTTTCTAACTAAAAAGATTTGTAAAAAATAATGATGAAAATAGTTTAGTTTGGGTGTGTGGGTGAGATACAGAAGATATACATACACCCTGCTACGTCAAGATCAGTCATTTTTATAATCTCAAAAATGATAATCTTGATATTTTTTCGTAAAAATTCAAATAAAAAGGGTTAAAAAATGGATGAAAGCGCAAGACGAAGTGACGTGTAGGCGCTCTCCCAACTGAGCTACGGCATTGCTGCCGATGAGATTCGAACTCATGACCTCCCGCTTAAAAGGCGAACGATGAACCGTCTTTACTAAAGCATCCAATTTTAACGTATAGTTTTTTACTTATTCAACTATACTATGATAGATAACCAGTAGGGATATTACTTTATCTTAATTTCTTTTTTTACATAGCTCACAAAAAATGACGATATTATATAGTTAACTATAATAGAGAATAACATTATGATTGATAAATATTCTTGTAGAACTAGTAAATAAAAATGGTGTCCTGGATTTACTGCCGTGCGATTTACTGCCGTAAACAATTTTCACAAGGCGCGCATTGTTTACATGAAACAAACTTTAATTAATATATTCAATCATTAACTTAAAATGAATCTTTTTTTTTTCGACCCCCCTTGCTCTTATTACGTGCATAAATAATTCGCGAAGAAGAATTATGTATCGTATTTGTTAAATTTCTTGTCTGATTATATGATATTTATAGGAAATTGTTTTTGAATATGATCATTTTTATGCTATATTATATTCTTATAAGAATTGGAGTTTAATATTTAGCTATTGAATTATTATCTACGATCAATAGAAAAAAAAATAGATCTGTTTCTATACTATCATATCGACATCTTTCTGTTCGTCTATTTTTCCTTTCGTTTGAATGCAATATAATTATATGAAATATTTTTAACAAATTGTAATGATTTAGTATTTTATATTCTAAATATAAAAATATATTAAAATTATCCATATCAGATAAAGAATAATATTTCCGTTTTATTTTAAAAATCATATCAATTTATATGATTACATATGATACCGAAAAAAATGAGTCACATGATAAATTTACATGTTTTACAAGAAAAAATGAGTGAGTTCTGCTGGATTATGTTTTGTTTACAAAATATATTCTTTAAAGTAGACTTTTATTGAATAAAATAAAAGAAAACCTTAATAATTTTTGATTTGTACATAGAGTTTATTGAAGTATTGCCGAAAGTTGACAAATGCCAATAAAAGATATTACTTTATCTCATTGATTAGCGAAGTTCAATATAAAAAAAACGATTAATATATCTCGTATGATATGGACATATAGTTTTTATTGCCATTTAGGATTTTATCGATCAAAAACATGTCAGTCGTTTATTTTTAAGCATAAATTGATATTATATATAGTAAACAAAATAATAAAATGAACAGTTTCATGCGAAGAACATTGCATGACAAAACCTGGTCATTTATAGCTAAAAATAAGGCGCAGATCAATAAATAATCTTTCTTGTTAAATAATAAAAATATTGAGATAACATGTACAAATCAAAAACGCTATTATGAAATGGAAGCACTTAATAAAAATTCTGATCATATAGATTTATCAAGGTTTATATCTAAGTAATCTTGTCGAAAAAAAATTATTTATTTTATCATATATACGATTGGAGTTACTTTTATTATAAATAATATGTTTTATTTTTATTATTTAAAATATTTCTTTTCTAAGCTAAAATATTGAAACTATAAATTATTGCTTTTAACTAATATAATTGTTTATATGAATGAATAATTTGAGCAATATATTGTCATAATTTATTATAAACATAATAATCAGCTCGAATTTTTTTTAAAACAAAGTAAACATAAGTTAAATCCAATCCAACTATACGAATATTCATATACGTTTATTTAGTATAACGAACAATTTCTCAGATACTTTCAATACAATGTAAGTCTTTAAAGATTATTGAAGTCAATCAAGATTTTTTGTATCAGTTTTTGATAATCAAATTCATAAATGAAATGCTGAAATTCTCAACTTAAAATATTTTGAATCGATATTAAAAATTCTACTTTTTGATATATATTTAATTTATTATTTATTCAATTTCTAAATATTGAAAATAACGAAGTCCAGCGCCTTTTAAAAATTTTTCTTTAGTAATCTGATCTTTTTCTAATTTATCCCATAATCGACTTAACGATTCTTCTGCTATTCGAGTATTTTTTCGACGTTTTGGTGGAGCTGCTCCTGCTTCATGTCGTTCCCTTCCATCTGCAGCTAATAGTTGATCGATTTTAAACATATCGATGCAAATATAAATATCATGATGAGATTTCGTAGATCTTTTTTTCCAACGATTATGGCGACCTTCGAGATAATTTATAGTACGTGGTTTAAGATTACGATAATGGTTGTACATTTTTGGTGGAAATCTGCTATTAATGCCATAAGTGTTATTATGATATTCCAAAAATGAATCAATTTCTTTTTCATATAATAATGGTTTTATTGAACGTAAATATTCAATTGCTTCATCCATATCTGTTTCTGGTAAGAGTGCAATTGCAGCAAAACTTCGAAACCATAGACGTAAAGATTCATCTTCTTTAAATGGTGTTGTTAAATTTAAGCTCACAAATTTCCGAAACAATGCCTGTCCATAATGGAACAGGCATCCTTTTACCTATATAAATTTTTGAAAAAGAAATTAGAAAAGTATTCTAAAAACTATATTATTTCCGTTTTTCAATTTATCCTTTTTTTTAGTTGGCGAAATTTAAAAAATATAAAGGCTTTTAATATATATATATATATGTGTATTTTTTTCATGAAATCTCTGTCTATATTTATAAATCAAATATTTCACTTTTTTTTCTTACTTCAACATGTGGAAAATGTTTGCAAAATACATTTTTAACAGCCAGTTCGTAATCTATAGTAATACATTCAAGTCGAATAATATTGGATATTTCCATTATTTTTTTTATCAATATAGAAAATAAATCAAGATATGTTGATTCAAATTTATCTGGTAGAAGTGCGAATACACATGGAGTTGATAGTCCTTCATCGAAAGTGTGAATACTGTAAATTTGATAAAATATGGAAGGTGATGTGTAAAAGGTACCGTCACCATACCAAAATTTTTGGTATGCTAAGTACTCAATATCATTTTGCGATGCAAATATTAAGCCTCTTTTTTGACCTAATATTCCATCATATAAAAGAAAGTTCAATTTCTTTTTAGTTATTGTATATAATGGTGGAAGTGGATGAGGTAAATCATCGAGTGACTTTGGTAAAGGTGGTCTGATTTGTCGACGTTGTCGACTTACAGTATTTTTTAATGTTTTCATTGTAGGAAATTTTACAACTGAATCGTTTATTTTGTGTGTAGTAACCATGTTTGAATATCCTAATTCTACTATTTTATCAATTGGTTCTGAACTGCTTTGTGCATCTTTTTTTAATTTATGTCGAAGTTCTAAAACTTTAATTTCATTCGAATCAATAAGATGATTATGATTTTCATTTTTTCTTAAAACAATATTATTATTTGAAATTGAAATAGAAGCAGGACAGTTTCCTTTAACACATCTCCATAAAATTGAACTTAAATTTTTTTGTTTTACACAAAATCGTGCTCCATGGTAAATTAACTGATTGATTTCATGAGTAGATTTAATATATGATATACTTTCATCATTTAATTCTAAAATTAAATAATAAAATACAATTATATTTTCCCTCTATACACAATCTTAAGAAAAAAATTAAAGGGAAAATATTCAGAAATAATTGTTTAACTACAATATCATTATGAGATATGAGAAACATAAATTATCAAATATATGTTGACAAGAAAATAACTTTATGAAAAGAGCAAGTTAATGCTTAAAATTAAGCTTACGTGATTGATTTATATTTATATGCGACATATTGTGTTATATTTAAAAAAAGAATTGAACAAGTATTTGTTTAAAATTGTTTAAAATAGATATACAGCTTCAATTTGTTATATTATTAATAGATAAATAGATTCTTATTTACGTAATTGTGTATACCAAAATCAATGATTTTTTTTGTCTAAAGCGTAATAAATTGTATGATAGATTTATATAAATTGAATAACTGATGAAATAAAAAATACGTACGAATAGTTCCAAAAGAACGTGTTTATAATCATACACAAAATCAATTAATCAATGGCGCTTTCGAATATAATTTTTTTTTCAATTCTTGTTTTTACCTTTGAGGTGATATAATCAGGTAACTTCTAATTTTAACTGGATGATGAAATGAAAAATATAATATCCAGTTCTTTTATAATATATTATTGTTTTTTTTCTGTTTTTTGAATAAATTTTTCCTTCTATTAATAAGATTCTATTTTTTCTTAGTTTATGTACTTTATTATTTAATAGATGAAATTACATTTGTTTTTAATGTTATGATTATATAGAAATAACAAGAAGAAAATATCGTATTTATTTAAATATTGGCTTATCTTTCGTTCTCATAATTTATTGTATAATTAATTTATTTTCGCTCGTATTTAAATTATGAAGTGACGATAATTAGATGAGAACGTTTTATATAGCTAAGAGAACAATCTAATTATTCATTGCTGCTTTCTGATTGTTTAGATTTTATTCTTCATTATTTGATTTAGGTAAGCAATTATTGATATCTTTGTTTTTATATGTATTTTATGTTGTTGATTGTAAAGAAGTATGGAAAAATGTGAACGTATTCGTAGAATGAAACAATGTATTGTTGAAAAATTAGATCTACGACTTATTTTGGATGAATATTCATTTCTAATAATAAATGAAATTGCTCAAACAAGTAATGTTTCAATAGATTATATCTTTTTAACAACAATTATTGCCCTTTGTCATTGGACAATGGGAGCTTCATTAAAAGGTGCTCAAGCTTATAATACACCATTAATTCTTTTCGGTATTTTATGTGGAGGAAGTGGTATGTTTTTTAAATTTTGAAAATAGTTAAAATATAAAACTTGATAAAATATTTAAGTAAAATATATTTCATAATTTTATTACATACTTTTTTATTAGTAGAAAAATAGACGATTAACAAAATATTATGAATAGTTATTGTTATTATCATTTATGATTTTTTTTTTAGGTTCCAAGAAAAGTGCATCTATAAGAATAGTAAAAGAAGCTTGTGAAGCTGTAGAAGCATTAGATGGTACACCTGTCAAAAAGTCATCTATCAATGCATCAGTCAATATGGAATCGTTATGTTGTGAATTGGAACAACAACCGAATTTATTACAAGTTAGATATCTTTTGTATTACTTAAATATAATAAATAAAATTGTTCTAGTTATGGGATGAATTATCTGTTTTCTTTGGTATTTTCGGAAGCACACGTGTTGATCGAACTGCATATGATCGTGGTTTAATGTGTGAGTTTTATAGTCCAACTGGTATTGTTCGTCGACAACTCGTTAGTAGACATAATGTCATGATTAAACCACGTTTAAATATTATAGCAGCTGGGCATCCAAAACGAACAATTGAATGTTTAACAGGTAAACTATTTAAAAAAAAATAAATATGTCTTTTTATAATTCGATTTATTAGGTATTGCTTTAAAATCTCAAGATCAGAAAGATCAAAATGATGATGGTTTATTTAATCGTTTTTTGATTGCTGTTGCATATAAGCATCGTCCTAACCGAGAAATAATTGAACCAAATAAAAAAATACCAAAACTCGGTCATTTGTTTTATTTAACTAAAAAACTACATCGTAACACAGAAGAATACATCTATAACGACGAAGGTAATTTTATTATTTTCATAAATGATAGATTATTTTTTATTTTATATAGCAAAAAAATTTATTAAAAATGTGATTTATGATTATGATATACTGTCATCCGAGAAATCGAATGAAGATGATTTTTTAGCAAGGTAGCCTATTTATTTATTTATTGCATCAATTGATTAAGTTTCTGTATAATTAGTTGTTATCAAAAATCAATGGAACGAGTTGAACGTTTATCGCTCGTTCTTCACATTCTTAAAATATGTTCTCGTCGGTTATTTAATATGCTTGGAAATATTGAATCATTTGGTATTCTTGATGATAAATTCAAAATAATTTGTACAGAACAAGAATTAAATGAAGATGATCATTTAATTGATTATGATACTTGTTTTCGAGCGTCATTATTAACAAAATTTTATCTTAATCAAATTAAAATATTAGCTGGCTATGATCCAATAACCGATCATATTTTATTGAATAAAAAATGTAAGATAAATACGTTTCATTTGCTTTCATATCGGTTAATAATGAATATTTTTTATTGAATATATATAAAGCAGTAAAATAAAAACTAGAAGTATTTTATAAGGAAGAAAATTTTTATTTTGCTAATAACAGAAAAGTCTTCATATATTATTTTACATCATCATCTTAATTTGAGTCTATAGATAGTATGGATGTACCAGAAAATGAAGTAATGCATATAAAGAAATATATTGAAAATCATCCATCTGATCGACTTCTTTTATCATCACTACCAGCAAATCTAAAAAGAAAAATAAGCAAAGATCAATATTTATTGATACTTCGACAAATGGAGGAAGAAGGAAAAGGTAAAATAGAAGAAACAAATAATACGACTGGTCCAAAAGCAATCGTATTTACAAAAAAGAAAAAAATCGAACATGCACCAAATACATCTTCATCAACAACACATCAACAAACAAATCAAATTATATTAATACCTTCTGAACAAACAGATGAACCTTCATCAACAAATCAATCTTCTTCTTCTTGAACTTCTGATCAATATGATAACTTTTCTCTCTATCATTTTTTAATTAACAGTTCTATTCATTTGGATATTTGACAATTAAAGTTAAATAGTTAAAACAATATGCAACTTCTTTTTCATTTCAGATTAAAATGGATATTGATCATTCTGTAATTCATATGTATGAACAATTGATGAATAATAATTCAAATAAAACGTAAGATCGTCAATTTAACTAACTCATATATAATTTTTTTGGTAGTTTACAATCAACATCAAATACATCAGTCGCACAAAGTTTAAACAATTCTACATCATGTAATAATGATCACAACAATGTTGATGTTAATAAAAATACTTTCGAAAGTAATAATAATACAAATAATCAACTTTCTCAATGTAATGAAAATCATGAGTCAACTGAAGATATTATCGAAATATTAAACATACAAACAAGTATGTAGTATTAAAAAAAAGATTTACTTTTATTTGATGTTTCTAATCACTTTTTTTTATTTAAATTAAAAATAATCGCATAGCGATATTTATATTACTAAAGTTCTCATTCTTAGTTACAAAATTAAACAGAAATAAATTCACATCTATTAACTCTTCAAAAATTGAATGTTTCAAAAATTTTCTTTTATAACCTAATGATTTAATTTTAAAATATATTGTAGACAATGAACCAAAACTAATAAAAATTAATCAAATTAATACCGATATTGATTTTCCGTAAGTTATCGATTTGTTAATCAATTTATTGTGTTAACGTCTAATATTTTTGACGATCTTAATTTTATTGATCTAATTTAATCAATACTTTGTTTGCTTTCTTTTTTTTTTGTTAATATCAAATAATTTATGTTATATTAAAATTTCATTTGCATATTTTATTCTTTATTTAATTGACATGGTAAATTATATCTATAATTTCTTCCTTGTACAACATATAATATAGATGGAAATTACAAGCAATTATTAGCTGTACACATCCAAAACGAACATATATTAATTCAAATGGCGAAGGTGAAATATCAACATGGGACTTAGTCGATGATACAGCTGCAATTAATCTTGTAGCTTTTAATTTGGATTCGTATATATTACCGAATAAATTATTTGAAGGAAAAGTAATGAAACGTTTAAATAAAACATTCTATTTTTTATATAATTTTAGTCATATGAATTTAATGGTTTATCAATCAAAACAGTTGATAGTATTTATAAAAAATTACCTCATGATTATCAATTAATTGTAAATAAAACAACTAAAATACGTGAAATTACAATGGCATACAAACATCATTTGACGTATAATTTTACTCATTTAAATGAAATTGAAAACTTACCATTGAATTCGATAATTGGTTTGTATTCCTAGATCGAAATAAATTAAAAAATATATATAATTTATATTATTCCTCATTTTATATAGATGTTAACGTCAAGGTTTTAAGAGATTATGGAACAACTACAGGAAGTACGAATGGTAATTCATGGACTCGACGTGAAGTTCATGTTTCTCAAGATCAGGTTCACATGAAATTAACCTTATGGAATGAACAGGTTTTACTATATAAATAAATATTTTATTTAATTTTCTGTTATTAGGCGAAAAAAATTCCAACAAGTATAATCAACAAAGAAATAAAACTTAAAAATATTAAAATTGATTGGTTTAATGGTAAATCGAATTAAAAATATTGTTTTTTTTTCAATTATAACTAAAATTTTTTCCAAATATTTAGGATCACGTACTCTTGTTAGTTTAGCCAATAGTTATTTATCCATTGTTTAAATGAACTTCCAATTCGTATTTTTGGACATTAATCTAGTAAAAAAAACTATTAAAATTATTCTTGTTTTGTTTCAAATTGATTTAATGAATTTCATTAATTATATTTAAATAGCATAAATAAAATTAATTTAGAATCTCTAATAACATAATACAATTTTTTTTTAAATTAATTTAAAATAATATAAACATAGTACAATTGACTGTTTTATTCAATTGTTATAAATTTTAATAGAAATTAAATTGCCTATTTTACATAAAATGAATTTCATATTCTTTCAATAACATATTATTTGATATTATTTTAGGAACGAAATAGAAAAACATGCTCAATCAATATTACTAGAGGCTTTTTTCGTCAAAAGTAATTTTTTTCTCGTAGATCCGACATGTATCTGAATTTTTTCCAATTTAATGGAATGTGCTTTAATGAAATTCGTTTCTAAGATGCTAATTATATAAAAAAAAAATATAAATATCTAGAAATAGTCAAGCGCCCAAATCATATTTTCACTTGAAATTAAAAACTAAAATATACTTAAGAATTCATCTATTAAATATTGATGATAAATATATTATGAACTTTCTTCAGAAATTGATCAAACATCTTTTTCCAAATAAAATTATAACTTATCGTATAGCTGACTTAAATAATCAAATATTGGAACAAAACAACAAAATAAATAATATATTTATAAGTATTGAAAAAGAAAATAGATCTCGACAATTTTGCTATCTTACAATTGAAGAATTAATAAAATTATTTGAAAATTGTCCTGTAACAGATCGAGCATTATACGAATGTATTTCTCCAAAAAATTCTGTTAAAATATATATCGATTTCGAATACATGATTCATAATAATTTGGATATACAAAATCATCATATTGGTCCTATGTGCTTTCTTAAAATTCTATATTATTTTCTAAATATTCCAGATGATACTATTAATACAGTAGAAAATTATACTGAAAACGTTTTAAAACAATTTCTAGTTTTAGAAGCGTAAATCATAGTTTTTATAAAGCTTCTCAAAAAATAGTATTATTTTTAGATCAACAAACGAGAAGATATCGTATCATTTTATACATGCAAAACCATCAGCTATATTTGAAAATGTATCTACACTTGCAATTTTTATCAAAGCAATGATTCATTTTGTATTATTATCAGTTGTTCAACATAAATGCTCTATGTTCAACATAACTTCACCATTAGGGCCATATACTATATCAAACTTAATTCAGATCTTAATACCACATATAAATATATTACGGACACATTGTACTTCATGTCAAACTTCAATTCCTTATATTTCAATCGCTGATATAGCATATTTACTAGTACAAAATAAAACAAATGAATGGGTGACAGCAATTGATATAAATGTTTACTCAAACAATCAGCAATTTCGTTTATTTAATAGTATCAAATATGGAAAAAATAATCCTCTTATTTTATCCACTACATTTCCTTTTGATTCTCAATTACAATATTCATTTTCTGACCTTCTTAAAAAATCTTTAATTACATTCATCGAAAATGACCAACTTCCAAAAATCTATTTTAAAAATGAAAAATTTGTATTTGATTTATCGACTTCTTCTAATTCAACTATTACAAAACTACAAAATTTTATAAATATTGAACCAATTAATCAACATATGAAGCATTCGTCTTTTTCTCATTCGCATCCAAATATTAATACTAATCAAAATTTATCACGTTCATTACATCCTAATAAAATTAATAATCTAAATTTATCTATACCAGATATGTCAATATTTATCGATTTTGTTGAAAATATCATTACATCTGATCCATCTCATCAAGGTTACATATGTTCATGTGCTCGTGGTACTTATAATACAAATTTATTATTTTTTAATATAGCAGGAAAATATAAATTCTGCCCAAAGAAAAATGGTCATCATCAACGTAATAATGTAGCTATCATGATCAATAAAAAAGACTATACATACAGTATTCGATGTAAAGATATTGAATGTAATAACACTATTTTATCTTGGAAAAAAATTAAATAGTTTTTTTGCAATTTTTTGATCATATATACTGTATCAATTAAAATAAAAAAATTCTATTAACTAATGAATCATAAATTTATAAATTTCTTTTTACAATATCTAATAATAAAACATATCTATCTCACACATTTCATATTTCTTATTTTCTCTACTACTAAAATATATATAAATATATTGAATTCTTTTTTTTCTAAATTTCAATAAAGTCGAATTTATAAATATAATAAGAATTTTCTGATTCATTATGATGAATCAATATGACAAATGGCGCGTTTCTCTTTTTTTTTTATAAAAATAATTACTCATTAAAATTGTCGCAATCATTTACTTACAATTATATCAATTGAAATTGGTGAGTTATATGAATTATAGTTTAGGTAAATCAATGATCACAATATTAGAATTAAGAAATCAGTTGTATAAAGTAGCATTAATAATCCATTTAGTAAAATTAATGATGTTTTAAACTTTCCGATTTAATATATTTATTAGAGAACTGTTTCTACAACTATTAGTAATGAAAAATACACAATTTAAACAGAGTAGAGAAGAGATTTATTATTGAGCTTTTCTAATATGTAGTCATGAAAATTTACGATGAAAAAATAAGCTTCTTAGCTAATTTAAAAAATAATTTTTTTTTACGATGATAGTTATATAAATACGAACTATAGTTACATTAAAATTTACTTTTACGAACGTTTGATATGAAAAATAAACCTTTGAGATAGAAAATATTTTTTTTTCTCTTTTTAATTACGAACTATAGGTATATTTAAATTTATTTTCACGAACGATTGAGATAAAAAATAAACCTATGAGATAGAAAATATTTTTTTTCTACTTAATTACGAACTATAGTTAGATTTTAATATACTTTTACGAACGTCTGACATGAAAAGTAAACTTTTGACATAGAAAACAATTTCTTCTTTACAGTCTAGTTACATAACTACGAACTATAGTCAGATTTTAATTTATTTTTACGAACGTTTGATATGAAATATAAACCTTTGAGATAGAAAATAGTTTCTTCTTTACAGTCTATTTATATACCTACGAACTATAATTAGATTTAAATTTATTTTCACGAACAATTGAGATGAAAAATGAACCTTTGACATAGAAAATGATTTTTTTGACTACACAATTACGAACTATAGTTAGATTTAATTCTACTTTCACCAACGATTGAGATGAGAAATAAACCTTTGATACAGAAAACAATTTTTTATCTAATTAATTACGAACTATAATTAGATTTCAATTTACTTTCACGAACATTTGATATGTAGTATAAACTATTGACATAGAAAACAGTTTTTTCTTTACAATCTTATTTATATAACTACGAACTATAGTTACATTTCAACTGACTATCAGGATTATTTGACATGAAAAATAAACCTTTGATATAGAAACTAATATATTTTTATCTGCTCAATTACGAACTATAATTAGTTTTAAAGTTACTCTCACGAGCCTTTGAGATGAAAAAAAAACCTTTGACATAGAAAATCTCAAAGAAAATTTACTATTGTGATCATTAGATTTATCTAACTTAATCATATAATTTACCAGAAACAAGAAACTTTAAATTTAAACTTGTAAAAAAAAATAAAAAATAAATTTGTAAACAAATGTTTACAACGGCAATAAATCATACGGCAGTAAATCCTGTAATCCAATAAAAATAATAGACTTTCTGATATAAAGAAATTTTTCCCCTAGGATACCACTGTTTACTAAAAATAAAATTTCATAATTAATATAATTCAACCTGAAATAAATCAAGATCAAAATCAAAAAGTAAACAAAAAATTAGAAAAATATTTGGTAAGAGACGCTGCCTATTTAATCGAAGCCCATACTCTATATTAACCATTCTATAAGATATGTCCTTATGAAATTTCATATAAAAGAAAATATTTTATTCGTTATTTTAAAATAACCATTGAAATTATAATCAAGTCTCGATCAAAGAGAAAAATATTCGCATTACAAGAGATGTCAGTCAATATCAATAACTCATATTAAATATCTCCATTTGCAGTCTTAGTATATTTCATCCTCACTTACTCTAATTTGATTATTCTAAACCACATATCTTATGAAGACTTTATCAATGAGTTATTTGTAAATAAAGATGTCAAATTGAAACAACATCGTTCGATTTGCTGATGTATGCCACGTCATCCTTCGAAGATCTAACACATCTCTTGAGATCTGATTCATTCAAACAATGCTTCTGTATCGGTAATAAATAAAAAGCAAATTGTCGTTAGTCTGTAACAAAATTCTTTTCTTAAAACCTAAGATGTATAAATGAGTTGAACGCATTTACTTTCACTATGACTTAAATGATGGAACATTCATTGTTTTTCTTATTTACCATATATGGTAGTATTATTGTATATAGAAAAAGAATCGACCGATGTCTCATCAACAGAATAGAAAAAGTATTGCCCAACAAACAGGACGATTGACGTTATTTTGCTATTCTCAAGTTAACTTATATATAGAGCGATAAAAACGAGATATAAAGTAGTCAAGTAAGTATCGAGTTTCTATACACAAATTTTAACATTTGCTAACGGGATATTTATTGTATATTTTGAAGATAATTTCAGCTGACGCAATAATGCGATCAAATGTTTGGATAATAGATAAGATGGAATATTATTTGATAGTATTATCCATGATTTTCTCTATCATGGAGATTTAGATCATGCACGAAATATGAATTTATTGAACGAATTAGCTATTAAGCATATTATTAGTGTTTGCGATATTCAACTAGATAAAGAAATTATTGATAATTTTAATGTTTTATGAATCAGTATTGACGATACACGTTCTGTAGATATTCGAAAACATTTCGATCAAACAAATCAATTTTTACTTAGTTGCAAGGAGAAAGGTGAGAAAGTATTAGTTCATTGTCAAATGGGTATATCTCGTTCGTCTTCAATTGTTCTCGTATATTTAATCAAGTAAAATTTTTGAACGTTTTTTTACATATCAATTATCGATCTTTCTTTTTTCTCAGGTTTCATCATGAGAATCTAGTTGATGCTTGCGATCATTTACTCAATCGTCGATATATTGCTGCGCCGAATTTTAGGTTTTTTCTCTCCAGCTGATTCGGTATGAAAAGGCTCTCAACAGTGACAAGACAGACAACAAAGATTCTATTTCAATAGAATTATGCAATATTGCATGTAGGATTAAGCACACAAATTGTAACAAATTTCATAAACAGTTTTCTAAGTACAATTCAACATTTTCAAAACAAATAATTGCAATCTGATAGAAAAATAATAAAAAACGAGACATTAGCTGTAATCAACAGTTCTGAAGTAACATAAGCAAGGATATTCTAATATTTTCATCATGAATAAGTCGATGAAAATGGATATAATTGCGGATAAATGTTCGTTTAGATCATCTTGAGGGTGGGTGTCGCTTTTATGTCACATCCACACCCTCAAGAGAAAAAAAATATATTACGTCATACTTACGTCTTCGTTACACTGAATAACATGATAAGAAAATACAAGTTTTAATGGTGTGGATGTGACGTTAGATATAAGGGTGTGAGTGAAAGTATCTTATTAGCCGCGCACACCCACACCCATTCAAAATATGATATAACCACCAGAGATAGGCCCATCTGTTTTTCGATCCATTCACATATTCAGGGGCAAAAGAGCAATATTGCACCATTTTCTTTGGTCCAAATCCTACAAATCGTCAAAATCAAAATGAATAACTTAGACTTATAAATACTGAGTGATTTTGAACAACAATGAACACTAATTAGCTTTCCATGATAATGAACAAACTAAACGTATTATGTCTGTTTCTCGCTTGGTCCATTTTATTTTTTATTTCCTCTCTGAACTTCAGCTTGATTTTTATTTCAAATTATGTTTTATGCTTTATTGCAATGCTGAGTCCTCATAAGTGTTTAAAAGGAAATAAATAACATGAAATGCTTCCGTGAAATTATAACTCTGCATTTAATTCATTCTTTTATAAGCATATTTAGAAAAAAATAATAATTTTCGACAAACAATCGATTGCTGAAAAGCAACAGTTGAGACCAAAAGATTAAACTTGTCTTTTCTTTAAAAACTAAGCCAAATCATTTTTCGATTGATCGACATCCTCAAGATGAATTTTTCCGTTCTATAAATCAAGAAACATTTCTTAGTTCACATGCATAAAGAAATCTTTTCATTTGGATATACAAAACCCTTGATTAATGAATAATTTTCATATTCTTTGTATTCTACATAGTATGTTTTTATTGAGAAAAGTGCTCCTAATAACAACGAATTCAATTTATTGTAAACGACTGCTAATTACTTCATTATTTCCATAGATAATAACTGAGTTTTAGACCATTCGAGGCCACAGTTAGGGTGTTCACACAGATCTTTAAAAGAAACTATGTATTTAACTACAATGTTCTTTTTTTCGAAAATGAAATTAATCAAGACCTACTTGAAACCTGTTTCTGATAGGAGCATTGACTGTGTATCAGTAACACCCACATCCAACTATATCATTGTACAGATACCATGCCTCATTGAGAGAAACGCCGTTTCAGCCATGGATGCCGTATGCATAATGAAGAAAAAGAAAATTGTTTGCCAGTAATATCATGCATTCACAATAAACTAACTACTTTGAGATGTATCGCTGTATAGCTGCCATCCATCATTGTGAGAAACGCAGTTTCAATCATTAATGCTCTCTGAAAATATGAAGAAAGAGAAAAAAAATTGTTTGTCAGTATTGTCAGGAATATCATGCATTCATGACAAACTAACTAGTTTGAGATGTGTCGCTGTACAGCTGTCATACATCACTGAGAGAAAACTAACGGGTGTTCCAGAAATAATGGACATCTCAGTATTTTAATCATATCTTTTCGACAATTCGTCCAATGAGCCTTTGTTTTTTTTGAAAGATTTGTTTTAAGGTGCTCGACG